ATTCAAACTGATTAAATGTATTTTTACTGAAGCCCTTTGTTTAAATAAGTATTATAAATTCTTAACTAGTTTGGGAATGTTCAATATGTAAATAATTCAAAATAGTGGAGGTGTAGATATTACACTTTTAATATTTATGAGTCTCACTCTCTTCATTATATCTTGTTCCACATTATAATTAGGTTGGTTCAACTGTTCGTTAATTTGACAACATGTGATGAAACCGAATATACATAAATGTCTCTTCTGTTCTGTAGTGAGTCTTGTTTCAGTCGTTCATGAAAGCAGACTTTTTATTCATTTTATGTTACTACCACATATTTTACAACATTGATTTTGTTACTTAATAAATTGAGGAGCTTTAAAATATACAAATAAACAACAACAAATGGTAACATTAAAAAGGTGAAGAAAAGGGTTATGCTCACAGCTAGTATGAACAAAGAGGAGTGAGTTCTTCAAATACTGGGTGTTAATTTTACCCCGACGCAAAATAAAGAAATTGATTCTATAAAATCTACTCAAAAGAAGTAACCAATTGCTAACGCACTTTGGTAGGTAACGATTAGCAAGACTACAATATCAATTTGATAGAAATATACCCATTATATACTGGCCTATTTATCAATATATAATGAATACCTATAACAAGAAAGAAATGAAATGGTTGGGGGTTTTTATGCATTTCTAAAACTCTCATGAGAGGTCTTCGTCCAGTCCCCTGAAGACATATTACGCGAAACTTACATAACTTATACTAACGACAGAAAACATTTGATCAATACAACAAAACAATATTCGCTGAGAGTAGCTCACAATTTTAATTACTAAATGTAGATATTTACCCGTGGAAGTTACGGAAAGCAAAATAAATGACCAAAAACAAATTCCGCTATGCGTTGCTGGATTGTACGGTGTACTGCACTTCTTGGAACGGATCTTCCAACGATTTTTCCAACCAAATATCACTTTCGAAAGAAACACTGATTAATTAAAGCCGCCCATAGCGTAAAATATTTCCCAATGCAAAAACTTCGACTTTTTCATCATCATGAAAGAGAATTGAAGTGTGTTCCTCCCCTCATTTCCTCAAAAAAAATGAATAAAAATGGACCAATATCTATTTTTACAAACTCACATTTTTCTTTAATTCAACTTCAGATCTTTGACATGCCACGAATCTAACGAACGACCTGTTTCGAAATCAGCTAGTTCATATACATTGGAAGATAGTTTTTTTATTACCAGCTTTCCCTGGAAATACTCAGCAGTATCAAACAACTTCTTATTACTTTTCCAAACCACTAGCCTAACCGTTGAGAAGAGAGGACGGTGACGAAGATTGTATCTTTGCGCACTGGTCGAGTACGACAGTTTTGTCTCAAGTTTGGCACATAAATCTTGAATTTCCTGAACATGGTTTGCCAAATTATGTTTTTGAGCATAATCCAACGGTTCTTCCTGTGAACCATTGCTTTGTCTGAATATTTTACCAGGCATATGAATTTCTCTGCCGAAATTAAAATAAGACGGACTATATCCGGTAATTTCATGAACAGCTGTTCGTAAAGCAAAACCTATCTGATAGAGTTTTTTATCTCAATCACGCTGAGATTCATTTATGTAACTACGAATCATAGTTTTGAGGTTCCTATTAACTTTTTCTGTTAGTTTGCATAAGGACTATACTGCGCATTGAAACAGATTAGACAATCATACGATTCACACCATAGATCATGAACATATTTTCCTCAATAAATTTAGTGCAAGCCTTACTAGTAACCGTCTTCAAAGGACAAAGCGTAGTGAATTTCGTAAAGAGGTCAGTAACAACCAAGACAAACCGATATGGTCTAAGAGATAAGACCAATAAGTTCAGTCGCGACAACTTCCCATGGCTTTAGAGACAATACTTCTCGACATCACATGGATGCTTTTGCTCTGGTTTCTGGGATTTACAGATTTCACATTTCCTAACATACCCAAAAATATCACCATTCATTCCTGGCCAATAATAAAGGCTAGAAATTCAGTTCCTAATTTTGTAATAACCAAGATAACCAGCGCAAGGTTCGTCATGGTTTTCATAAAACACAGCCAACCGCAGCATGCGGCATGTGAATCTATATACCTTTTTTCCTGACAGTTTCCACTTAGGATATTTTTCTGGGTGGGATAGAATATTAGATCCCAATCAATCTTTTGGGTCAACACCAACAAATGCGACCTGTGGAGCGTCAGGAACAGAATGAATTTTCCCACTGCGTTGGATAACATTGAAATGTATCTCACTAAAATATTGTAGAATCAGTAAACTAACATTAATAACTTCCCGAATATTTCTTTCGTATTGTGATATTAATTCCAAATTCTTCTCAAATAATGTAGGAACACAGACTAGAGTGAAATCATGTATTTCTCACATAATCGACTCAAATAACCCAAATATTACGAAATATCCTGAATTATTCTCAGTCAAATATTGTATAAATAATTTACACAAATGAAACAAAAGAAAAAAATTCATGAATATTTTCTTCAATATTGTGATATTCACCTCAAATTTGTTTCAAATTTTGAAGAAACACATTGACTAGATTTCAGAAAATTGCATTTCTTCAGTCCAGCATCCAATAGCTTCTGGAACACATTTCTCATGGTTTTCAATTACTGGTCGGAATCAGGTGTAGCTATGATAATGTCGTCTGAGTATGCAAAAACAAACTCTTTCAGCTTTGGACCTAATACTGTATAACTGACCCTTCCCAGTGGCTGAACCGTTTTGTAACCCAAACAGCAATCGGGTAAACTGGTATGGACCAGTGACGCAGTTTTCTCTTCACTTGAATCTTCCAGCAAAATCTGATGATATGCACTTTAATATCGATGAAAGGAAAATACCCGACATCGTTTAACCGACCAACAATTTAGTTGACATACGGTAGCGGGTAAGCATCTCTACGAGTAACTTCATTTACTTTTCGAAAATTGATACAAAACCTATAATAGTTCGGTCAAATTAGACCAAAAAATAAGAGTAAAGCTACCTACATTCCTACCAAGCTGAAAATCACTGGGATTGTTTAAAATATGAAAATATAAATTTTGAAAGTGCCCATCTTTCCCCTGTATGGACAAAATTTTATTCAAGGTCAAATAAGAAAAATTAGTTTTTTGCGATTTTCAGGAAAACAGTAAGTTTTATCATAAAATAACTTCAGATAAAAATTGTAGATCATAAAATTCTCTACAAAAAGTGTATCAATACTCTGTATGTCAAGAGTAAAAAAAGATGCTAAACACATCCGAAAACTTTTAGAGTGGTTCTCAATACATGACCCTTTTCCAGGGGTAAACAAAATTATATCTATTGCAAGTGGTGTCGTTGCTGATGATTAAATAAACTGTTATAAAGCTCGTGAAGTTGGACTTGCCTCTATGGCGAAAATAACAGGACTAACATTCAATGATATTAAATTTGAACGCGCAGACAAAGTTGTTCCTCTTTTAGCGATGAGTATTACTATAAAAGTTCACGAAAAAAAGTGCCTGTAGTATTATTGTTCCAGCGCATGAGTATTATTGCAGCATTTCAAGATGAAATTGAGAAATATTTTGAATATGAATTGGCTCCCTACCCTTTATCGTTGTTTGATGACCTTGGGATGCGTGAAACACAGAAGTCTGCCATTTACGATTGTTTCCAACAGGTCAATAGTGAAATTAACAATACCGATACGACATACATCATTGACGGTGGATACTTACTACATCGTGTTGTGTGGGATAGTGAAGAAACATTCAGCATTATTTTAGATAAATACGTTCAGTATGTACGTAGACATTTTGGTGCCAGAATTACGGTCGTATTTGATGGCTTTGAGTCAAATTTGCCACATCCGTATG